TGTGTTACAACCGATGTCAAACTGAAAAGAATGCCATGACTAAACTGAACACAAACATTGACCACAAACTAAAAAAGGGTGACTGCATGTTAGCAGGTGAACCTTGTTACATACTATAGAAAAACAGCTTTAAAACACTCTTAATGACAAGTAATTAACCAGAGAAAAATGACTACAGCAAGACGTGGAAGAAAACCACTGAAATCCCAAGCTTCAATCTTGTCCTCACAAAGACAGAATCTGCCTCACTGACAACTAAACGCCCTGAAGGACAGTCCTGTCTGTGTGGGAGTAACGTCACGTGTGCGTAAGAACAGAATTTAGCTTTAAAAATACATGTGTTGTAATAAACTGGCACAGGTAAATGTGTGCTTCAGAGATTAACATCTTGAGCTAGATTAGAAAGAATTATTTTCTCCTCCTATGGAGCACTGGAAGCCTTATTAGAGCTTGCCTTCCTGTGCAACATCTGGCATGCACTGACACAAGCTACCTGACTAAAGTTAGTCTAGTGACACATCAAAAACATTTATCTCTGTGTCATGAAAAGCTGGGCTGAAAAATACTACCGTATATACACTTCCCATTTCATTCATCTCCCTAATGTATTTTAAATCATTTCAGGGATCACGAGGTGCCCTACTTGGAGGGCTTCAGACGCTGAAACACTCTTGCCACAGCCCAATTACTCAAGAGTGCACAGAACACTGCTCCCAAGGGTGGGGTTTGCAGCCTGCGCACCCATCGGAGCTGCCTGCAGGTGAGTGTCACTGCTCCAGTCCCTCTGGCTGTGCCAGGCACCTGCAGGCACAAACTCCCAGAAAAAACGAACAGCAGAAATACTGAAAAAGATTTGGGAAGCTTCCTGCTAAGAAGGAAGATAAATAGCAGCAACATACCTCCAAGGCTTGAAGCTAATGGAATGGCTGATCCCTGAAAGCTCACGAGAGCTCTTGAGGGAGCAGCAATAACCTCCAGCTGACTCTCACGTTACTCCTTGTAGCACACACACTCATAAAGAAAGTGCTGGTAGTCCTGCTGGCAGAGGTGGGCCCAGCTTGGGCACGAGCTCCCCAGAAAAGAGAAGGGACTGGGACATCCTCCTCCTCCTCCCACATACAGACACCACCACATTGCACCGAAGGCACGGAAACCGTCAGTAGGACGTTACTAGCGATATGTACACCCAGTGAAAATCTGTGAATACTTTTTCATGTATGATCAGAAAAGCAAGTTCTTACCTAATGTTTTTTAGGAAAACAGAAAACAAGGGCTAAACCTACTAAGAAAATGGGTTTATTTATATGATATCAATTTGGATCAAAGCTAGACGACTCTCAAAAGAGAAGGAAAAAGACAGATAATGGCAAAACGAAACAGACAATCTGCTTGTTATTTGGTATTTGGAACAGACAGGGGAAAAGTAAAGTCATTTCACTGAAGTTCACTTTCATCTGCATGACTTTCTACACAAGAAAAACAACACAGACAAGGCCAAGCCCTTACTGAATAGTGAGGAAATCCCAAAGACTTCATCAGATGAAACCATACAGAACCCAGAACCAGCAAACAAACATTCTGCACTTTATTCTTGGTTTCCTGTATGCTTGTTCATCCCTACATTTAATTTTAGAAGGGTAAGGTCGCAGCATGTGCCACAGCACACGGCACAGACGAGAGGGCCACGATACACAGAGCATCACCACAGAGCATGAGAAGGCTTCACGCCATGCACAGTAACACCATACCTCATGAGAAAGCTTCAGAGGCTGCAGGCATCTGCTCCTCTTGTTCCTCAGCCCAGCCTTTTACACCCTCCTGTCCATGCACTGCCCCTGAGTGCCCTCTGCTCCCCTGGGGGACTGGTCAGTGCCCCTGGGCACTCCTGGCTCCTTACCTTCAATGCTGTTCACCTGCCTGGCACGGCTGCAGCCCACTGGGGATAAGGCTTCAGCCCCACCCCCAGCTACCACAGCCTGTGTGCCTAGAGGGTAACACACCTTTCTATGCCTTTCCTTATTGACAATCAGCAGCAAAATCACCTTGTGCAAGAACATAACCTATTGATACAAAACCAGCTGTGGATATACTACTAGTTTAGACTCCAGCTGACTTAGAAAACACGTAGATCAAAACTCTGAAGAGCACCTTAAGAAGACTTGAAAAGGAGAATATATGTAACTGTAACAAGCAAAAGCATTTTTGCTATACTGAAATAGATTCAAATTGCAAATGTTTATTACTTCTGTTACTAAAATCAGAAAAACATGCAATCTGAATTATGTGAGGAACTGTCCATCAATTTGAAAGCACCACAGTTCCTCTGCTAGAACAGGGGACACATCTTCCTTTTCCCCTCCAAATTCCAGCCAAAGCTCATGCCTCTGCACAAAGGCAATGTGGCTGAAATTTCCCTGTAACCATACAAGGAAACTGATGGGAACACAACTTCGTTGGGATTAGGTGGTGACCAGACCAGATTTAGAAAGACTGCTAAAGTAAGAATTTGGAAAACTCTTCAATAACATTTAGGCTGAGATGAAGAGGGGAAGAAAAGATAATTACTGCTCTGACTGGGCTGAAGCCATTTAAATAATTTCTAATTTCAAGATTCCTCCATATCATACACTGAAACTGCTCTCATCCAGCGATAATTTCTAATTTCAAAACTACTTTAAGGAAGTTTCATTTAGTCTTGAAAGTCTTGACTCCTCCATATCATACACTGAAACTGCTCTCATCCAGCGCGGGAAGCCAAAAGGCCCAAATTTGATATTTGACTTAAACAGCTTGAAGGGAAGCAAGCCCCAGACAAGGAACACATTTCCAAGTTTGCCCTTAACTCTGCTCACAGATGAAGCTGCCCCAATGATTTACACTGGAATGGGTATTTCAGTAGGTCCGACACAGAAGTGAGCTGCTACCTCCTCATGCAGCATTCAGATGGAGTAGAACAAAACGTAGATCAAAAAGCAGCACTTGATTATTAAACTCCATCCCCAACAGCAGCCAGGAGAAAGCATCACAGTTTGAGGCTTTTTCAGGTTTAAGGTTTTTTTGCACCACAAGTGCCATTCAAGTGCACCTTTCAGCAATTAAAAAATTGCCTCAGGAGAATCTAAAGATTTCTCCAAGAAGCTCGCTCTTCAGAAACTACTTAGTAGCTTTCCAAGTGCTAAAACCCAAACCAACCTCCACAAAAAACAGCCCAGCAAGTAAAAATCTGCAATAAGTTTTGAGATGTCTGAAAACAGAGATGGAAAGGCATTCCCTGCATTCACAGACAGGCACTATGCATGTTCTGATTTGCAAGGATATTCCACAGCTCAGCTGTGGAGTGTAACCTCTTCCCTTACGGGTTGAACCCACAGAAAACTCTGTATCAAATTTACCTCATTCCATTGTATGAGCAAAATTCTCCCAAATGTGCTTCCACTCCTTAACAGAGCACACCAAGGACCAACTTGGTCCTACATGAACAAAGTACAAAAATTACAGCTTGAAATACAGTGCAATCCAAACGATGAGTAATTAGAAAGACAGTTTTTCCTCATTTAGCCTAGCATTCCAGGATTTACCCCATCACACACAGAACCCATGGCATATTGGTAACCTGGCACATGTTCCCCACCTGTTCCCAGTAACCTGATGATGACCTTGTTATGGCTTCTCACATTGAAAATTACTCAGATCTATGAAATCACACCGAGTGTGGTGTTTTATTTTAAGCATCAAAATTCAACAGATCACAGTGTGCTAAATAATAATAAAATACCATCTGTTTAAAGCAAACTCATGAAAATATTTACCTCAAGTATTATAAATTGCTTAACTTACCTTCAAGCCTATAACTGTACCAAAAAAAAGGAATTTAAGTAACCTTTCAAGAATAAAGGAAAAATAATCTTGCAGTAAGAGTGAAGAGTTAAATTCAGCGAAAGGTAAGTTTTCACACAACTCTCACCAGACTCCAGTAACAACCATTGAAAGATGTTTATCAGAGAGCAGTTTGTTATCAGAACGGTTATCAGAACTTGCCATGTCTTACTGACTTCAGGCTGCCGTTTACCTGCAGCGATTCTTTGGGCCAGAAGCAGAGCAGCCACGAGCACGTTTAGGTTCTGGCAATGTTTACTCACTGCCGCGTTCTTCACAAATTGCCATAAAAACACAGAAAACGCTAAGGGAGAGCGATCCCTAATCCCCGAGTCCCGGCCACAGGCACTCCAGCAGGGAATTAACGAGCAATTGACACGGCACCGCTAAGACTCCCTTTGCACAACAACAGCCCACACCGTGTGTATATTTACCTACAATGTATCATAACAACGCGGCCGCTGCTGCTGACAAGCTGCTGCAAACGCACATCAGAGGCAAGGCAGAAACAAGCCGTGCAGCAGCCTTGTAACAGTAGCACTCCTCGCCGCTTCAGCACAGCGACTTGCTCCGCAACAGCTAGCTCAAAAACCACATTTTTTTCTTGGTCGTAATTTCCTTCTCACAAAAAAGTTTAATCTGAGATAAAAGTACATCTTCCCTCATTCACTCATAGTCAGATAGGCCCTAATGTCCATGTTTAAATGCAATGGGAACACAGAATCCAGTGAAGCTGTAAATGTTTAAAATAAAATCTGTAATGGAAACTTGTTATTGACCATCCTCCCAGAAAAAAAAAAAAGCTTGCAAAATGCTTCTGAAGCAAATTATTTATATTAAATAAGAAAACACTGCATTATGTTAAACTTTAGGTTTTGAACATCTTTTCTTGAAATTATTTACAGCAACCTCTGACTTCTGTGCAGTCAATCCATGAAACATTTAACACAGGAAAAAACCCCAGACATCAAGGAAAAAAATTCAAACCCAGGACATAATAATTAAAACAGTATTAAAAAAATCTGTTAAAATACTCAGCTATTTTTATCATTTCCTAATGCTCAGCACATGAACACACGAAACAGGGAGGAGGCACCACAAACACCAGATTAAAATATACCCACCCCTAGCTGAAAGCTTTTTGGTGTTGATAATTTTGGCAGCGTACTCTTGTCCTGTGGTGATTTTCATACACCTCCTCACGACGGAGAACGCCCCTCTGGAAACCAAAACCGGGTAAAGTGTCAGTCCAACTGAAACACTCCACTGCCATTACCAGCTAACGGGCAGCACGGAGGGGTGTGATGTCGGCAGAATTAAAAAAAAAAAAAAAAAAGGGATTTTCTGGTTTTCTGTCAGGGACGGTCAGCATTGATTTTATTCAGCTGAACAGTGAACTCCGCGGGGCAGAAGCCGTGTGACCAATCCCGCTAGCTGGGGCGGAGGGCGGGCGGGTTTCCACTGTGTCCATGCCGGCACACGGCGGGGGGACACAGGGCGGCGGTGGCCGGGTCCCCCTCAGCGGTGACACCGGGGGGGCGACACCCAACATGGCGCTCGGGGCTGCGCCTCCCGCCCCGCCGCTGGGGGGCGCCCGCCGCGCCCCGACACCCCTCATAACCCGAGACCCCCGCCCCGCGGCAACCTGAGAGCTGAAAATAACAATTAATAATAAATAGTAATAAATAGCGGCACGGGGGGGTTGAGCGCAGCTCCCCGCCACCCGCCCAGAGCCCCTGGCCGCCCCGGGGTCGTATGGCTGGAGCCCGGGCGCTCCCGCGGGGCTCTCGGCAGCGGTGAGGGCGCGGCTGCCCCCAGGGCTCACGCACCGACCCCCGCAGCCCCCGGTGCCTTCACTCCCCGTTCCGTCCTTACTTTCCGAGCTCCTCGAAGAGCTGGTACTCGTCGGTGAAGCGTGTGCAGGTGGTCGAGGCCATCATGAGGACGGGCGGCCGCCGGTGACTCCGGCGGCCGTGGACGGCGAGGCGGGGACGGCGGAGGGGCTGCGAGGCGAGGCGAGGCGAGGTGAGGCGAGGCTCCGCGCCGGCTTCTTCTCCTCCTCTTCCCCGCCACCGCCTCCTCTGGTGACGGCGTTGCCTCCGCGCCCTCCTCCGGTCTTCCCTCTCCCCTCCCCTCACCCTTTAGGGAAGCAAACAAACAAATATTTAAATAAATAAGTAAGTAAATAAAAAAATAAATACGTATCCTCCTCGCTCCCTCACGCCCGCCAGGGAAAGCTAGGGGCAAAAGGGAAAGCAAAACCGGGGCGGGGGGCGAGGCTCTCCCTCCCCTCTCGCTCTCCCCGGCCTCAGCCCGTCCGCCGATGCCGTGCCTCCCCCTAGCGACCCCGGCCCGCGACTCCCTGCCGTCGGGGACGGGGCGACACCCACGGGAGACTCACACGGGCGGTCGGAACAGGGGAAGCACCGGCGCCCGTCCCCCCGGAGCGAACGCCGACCTTTCCCCGGGCGCTGCCCCGGGACGGCGGCGGGAGGCGCCCTGAGGGAAGCGGATGCACCTGCGCGCGCTCCCCCCCCCACACCCCCGCCCCGCTCCTCAGTGGCCGCCCGTGACGTCACGCCTCGCCCGGGCGCGAGGGAGGGCGCGCGGCGGCGGCGCGGGAAGCGCGTGCGGGCGCGCTCGCGACCGCCACGGCGGAGGGGGGGGGCAGCTGGGCCTGAGGGACGGGACCCCTCACAGAGCTACAGACACACACAGAGCTACACACACACAGACAGACAGGGCTACACACACACAGAGTTACACACACAGACAGAGCCACACACACAGAGCTACAGACAGACAGAGCTACACACACACACACAGAGCTACACACAGAGCTACACACACACAGACAGAGCTACACACACAGAGCTCCGCACACACAGCTCTGCACACACACACAGACACACACACAGCCCCGCACACACACAGAGCCCCGCAGTGTCACAGCAAACTGCTGCCGCGGTCTCCTCCACAGAACCCCCGGTATCTTGAGCTGGAAGGGACCCACAATTGTCAAAGTCCAGCTCCTGGCCCTGCACAGGACCGCCCCCGCCGGTATCCTGAGCTGGAAGGGACCCACAAGGATTGTCAAAGTCCAGCTCCTGGCCCTGCACAGGACCGCCCCCAAATCCCACCCTGTGCCTCAGAGCCTTGTCCCAATTCTCCCTGAGCCGTGGCAGCCTTGGGGCTGTGACCACGGAATGGGGATCGCCAGGCCACCTGAAGGGCATTTGATCCTTTTTGATAAACCTGAATTGCTTTTGTTCCTTTCTGACCAGCTAAGTGTGGTGAGCCAAGCGAAGAATTGGATCCACACCTGCACAGAGCACAAGCAGCAGCCTGGTTACAAGCAGAGCTCCACTACAAAAGGCAGCCTGCAGCATCTCTGCCCTCATTTCAAGTAAGAAGACAGACCAAACACACCCACAAAGCACTTTACTTTAAACCTCTGGAGCTTCCAGAATCAGCATCCAGAGCTGTGGTCTCATATGAAGAGTTAAAACCTGCCAAGCCTTCCCAAAAGGAACATGAATGTAGGACAGGAATGCCAGAGCCTACACAGGAAGGCAGTTTTCCTCCAGGTGAGGCAGCTGTGCCTTGCACAAACACGCTGAATTCGTGACATAAAGGCGGCAGCAAAGGGACTTTGGAACTCACGAGCAAGTCCAAAGCATTTACTCCAGCAGTTCCTCTCCGGGGAACACTCCATGCAGCACGGGGAGGCTGGAGGAGGTTTCCATTCACAGCGGCAAGAATGGATGCACTCCCACCTGCGAGAAGGGAATGCGCACTGCAAGCACCCCAACAGCAGCGCATTTCCAAACCCCTCACACAAACAAGTCACACGGAGCTGGGACACCTGCATAGGAACCCCCTCAGCAGTGCTGAACCCCTGCGTGGGCTGGTGGTTGCATTTCAGGGGAGCTGTCTGCCAGGTTCCTCATCCAGAAGTACACAGTCACGAGAAAATGAAACATATTCCCCTGGCACTACATCACTTTTTCCCTCATGGTATATTCTGGGAGCAAGCATTTGGACCAAGTATCTGCTACTGCTGTGCCATACAGTTATTCTTTAATTTAAAAAAATATTCAGAAGAAAATATTAAATTCAATTTTAATTCACTTTCTTGTTGATGTTTTTGTGGGTTTTTTAAAGTCATTATAAGGATGAGTGATCCAAACAGAGATTTTTCTTTTAAAAATCCTTTTTTTCTGTTTCACATTTCCCAATCCGAAAAAAGACAAGAAGGGGCCAAGGAGCAAGGAGTTCCTTGAGAAATTTCAAGCATGAATTTTATCACAGGAGGTAAGTAAAGAAAGTATTTGTTTACAAGATTGATATCACAGGACTAGATGAATTTCTGCAAGAGAAACATTAGGGAACTGATGAGTAGCTTGGAAACACTTCAGCTGAGAGGGTTTTATCCCTTAAAACAATCATGTCTTAATTGTAGCTCCCTCTTGAGCTGAAGAAAACCTTAATTTGTAGCTGCCATTTAAACATTTGGTACATTCCCCAAATTCCTCCTGAGAAGACCAATGCAGGCAGGATGGCAGCCAAGGATCCAGTCCATGAGGAGAAATTCTAAACGCTGGGTAGAGCTTCAGGTTTCCATTAAGGCCACAGAAACAATTTATCTGCTGTTGAAGAACATCAGATCTCAACAACGAACGAAAAAAAAGCTTCAAAGCCATCCCAGGGCACATTTTTCCTCTCCAAAAGGTTTTCAAGAGAGCAGTTCAAGCCTGTAAGAAACTGAAGTCGTTCACTTAAAGTTCCTGAAGTTTAACAAAATTCTACAGATAAGTGGAATGAATTATATATTCAACTTTATACTGAAACATTTATTGTGGCAAAGGAAATTGTACTTATTTTAAGAGTTGGCTATTCAGCGAGGTCTTTGCTTTGTATGGCTTTAGACAGCTGAAGTGAGGTTTTCATTTTATTTCTGACCTTGCAAATACAGATTTTCAATTTTCTTACATTTTGCAGGAGTCACAAGAGCTTCCAAGAGGTCATTTGTGTGTACTGCTCCTTATGAGGGCTGCTAGGAATAATGGATGTTTCACTTGTGAACAAGCACAACAGCCTCTTACAGCAGAGGCCTTGGCAGGAAATGCCCAGAGCACCTGAGGAATCTGGGTTTAGATAAATACTCACTTTATGAGCAGATTGTCTTTAACACAAATCTTGGTCCTCCCCAGGGCTGCACATATTCCTGGAGAAAAGCACTTGGGGAAACCAATGGACAACACTGGAGGAGTCAGAGGTACATCACTGCGGTAAAGCAATGGAAAGACCAAAAATGTCTGTGGAAACCAGGAAAGATGTAAGAGCAGGGTAAAAAAAGAGGATCAACTGGGAGAAATCACACAGAAAATACGTGGGTTTGCAGTTCATTGCAACAGCTGGAGCTGGAGGCACAGATTTACGTCAGTGTGGAATTCTCTGCTGTAGCACATGGTGCACCTCTCTTATTTCCTCACTGGAGCTGCTGGACTTTGATCAATAAAGCTTCTGGAGGGCAGCAGGACAGGTGACATCGTGCCAGGGACTCACTCCCTCCTTTCCAAGAGCTGAGGATGGCCTAAAGCCTGTCCCAAGGCCTTCTGCTGGAGCAGCTCCCTCACCACCACCTCCCAAGCAGTGCTGACTCCAGAAGCTGCTGCCAGTCCCAGGCTTGCCGGGCCTCTGGTGGACTCTGGAGATCCATGGTGGAGCTGCTGCACCTGCCCCAGGGCTTGCTGCCTCCCCCGGGAGAAGCTCTCACTGCTGCTGTCCCACCATGTGTGAGTCAGCGCTCAGAGAAGTAGGTCCTTGAAGGTTCCCCAAAAGAAAGGAATTATTTGTCCGTGAGTGACAGTCCTGGCAAGCACCTTGCTGCCCGAGCAGGGCAGTGTGTGTGCCCTCTCTGCTGCTGGAGCACTCCTAGGTGGGATTAATTTACTCCTCAGTGAACCAGAAGGAGGTTGGCAGAATAACTGATTTGATAGCTCAGTGATTCTGTCACGCTCTTGCTATGCAGGAGACCAAACGTTCTCTCTGGCCTAAAAAAGCATCACTCCTGACAGGCTGGGAGGCATTGCTGGCCACTTAACTCCTGCCTCTGGAAGCAGCAGAGGGAGAAAGAAATGAAAAATTAATGCCTGATTTTTTCTCTTTCTGGGCAGGACAAGGACAAAAATATAGGCTGGAGCAAAACAGATGTTTTCATTTGTTTGCCCTGGAAAGAAACAAGGAATGCTCTGATAAGATTCAAATTTCAAGTTTCATCTCAGAATTTTAAAGAATACATTTTTCTCCTCTTTTTTTTTTTTTTAGTTTGAAGTATTCTTAATTAAGAATACACCTTTAAAATAATGCTTTTGAAGAGAGTGATTTCTTTTTAATGCACTTGTCCTGGTTATTTTGAGCTGAGTAAATTTTAATGAATTCTTAGCAAACAAAATATTCCATTGTTTACACAGTTCTTTTTACAAGCAATTAGAGTCAGTAACACTCCATGAATAAGACCTTTTGCTACTGGCTTTCATAACATGGATTTGAAATATAAACATTACTAAAAAAAAAATATTTCAAGCTGTGAATTAAATATTTCCTGGGGCCTGGAGTAACCTGGTCTATGGAAGGTGTCCCTGCCCATGGCAGGAGTTTGGAATGAGATGAGCTTTGAGATCCCCTCCAACCCAAACCATTCTGTGATTCCATGATTCTACGATTTCTGGAAGTTTGAGCACCAGTCTTGAACCCTGTATGATTGGCTGACTCAGAAAGGATAAACGCTTCTCCTTCCAGAGTTCCCAGGGGTTTGTGACTTTTGGTTCAGTGGTGATAGACTCTGGGAAATATGTGCATTTCTCTGGCCTGGTAGGACCCATTTTAATATTACCTTGCCACATAAACCCAAGAGAAAGATCTGCATGTGGAAAAGCCGGCTGTGACAGCCCCAATATCATCAAGGTGAGGAACTAAGTGTGATCTTGGCTGACAAACTCCACAGAGGCTGCCAGGGCTGCAAGGGAAGCAGGAAACACAGGAGCCCACACTGGCATGCCAGCACTGAAATTGTGCCCAGTCTTCCTTCTGAGTGCTTTTGGAGAGTACTTTGTAAACATTTCCAGGCATTTCCTAAAAAAAAAATGGGAGAGGTGACTCCAAGTAATTTGACCTACCACATGTTTTAGATTCAGAGCATCCTTTCAATGAAGGAAGCTGAAAAAGGAAATTGATAAGAACAGCCCCTGCTTCCCAAACACAGGCATTCCCAGCACTGGAGATGAAAAGGCTTTCCAAGAGGAGGGAGCAGTAACAGAGTTAACCAGAACTGATAAAGAGGGAGGCTGGAATTTGATAGGGGAAATAAGTCACTGTTGAGATTTTAGAAGTAGGGGAACATGGTCTGGGGGGTGAGTGAAGGGAAATATGTTAATGACAAAAGTTTGGACAGAGTGAACTGAAAACAAAAGATTTGGTCACAAAAGGGGAAGTTCTTAAAGAAACCAGTGCATGTGAGACACTGTTGACTACAAAAAAGCTGAGTTTTAAA